AGCGAAACTGTGACCGCGTGATGCCGTCACAGTGTGACAGTGTGACACCAGCCATGTGACGCCAGCGCGGCGCGACGGCCGACGCGACCGCTGCCGGCCGGCAGGCAGCCGGCGGAGCTGCGCCCGGCCGGCCGCTGGCCTGCCCGCCGTATCGATCGCGAGCGAGCGGCAGCGGGCGGCTCGCGGCGCGCGCGCCCCGCCGCCGCTCGCGTCGATGTGCGGCGGTGGCCGGCCGCTGTCGGCGGCGGCGGTGGCGGCTCTCGACCGCGCCGGGCCGCGAGGCCGACAGCGTCGCGGGGCTGCGCCGTCGGCCGCGCCCGGTTCTTGCCGGCGCGACGCGGCGCGCCGGTGTATCGAATGGCATGCGGTCGGGCGCGTCGGGTACGCCCGAGCGGCCTGTGTCAAGGGCGACACGGCGCCCGGGGCCGCTCGGCGCGGCCGAGGTCGGCCGCGCTCCACCGGCGCTGGGACCGGGGCCGCGCGCGCCGCCCGGCGCGGAATGCAGCTCCTGTTGTCGCGGGGCTGAGCGAGGCCCGGTTTTTGCGTCCGCCCCCCGTCCTGTCGCGCGCGCGCTGCGCCCGCCCGTATTGTGACGACTGTTCAACGGTGACCTTCACGTGTAAACGGACTGATAAGTGCTCGGCCCGGCGACGGATGAGCCGGGCTGTGTACTGACTCATCGGACCATGGCGCGCGCACCTGCCGCCCCGGCCGTCGGGGGCACAGATGGACAGCGGCTGGGGACCGGGACGGGCCCTCGGCAGACGGGCACACGGACGGTGGTGGGGTACCCGGCACACCCTCACCCTCCGCACGCGAAAGGTGGGGGGTTCTGACACACCCTTAGAGCCGTCCGATGGAATAATCCGAATGCCTCATTCACGAAGAACTGTACAGGGTTTTCCCCCCCACTACGGCCGCTCTTCAAAGTGAGAACGGTGACAGACCCTCAGCAAACCGGCAGCGGCGGTCGACCCCGTCAAGCCCCCTGCCCCGCACACCGACGCTGTGTCGGTGCACTGCGTCAGTCCCCATGCCGTTGCGTGTCCGCGCGGCTCTGTCCCCATTTCCCGCCGGCTAATCATAATCAGTCGCCGGCGCCGGTCACTGGGCGGCGCTGGGCATCGCGTGGGTGTATCTGCCGGTCCGCCCGCCCGCCTGGCTGCGGGGGGGGGGAGGCGCGCGGCCGGCGGCGCCGTCACGCGCCCGTCCCGTGCAGCCGTGCATGTGCCGTAGGTCCTCCGCTGCCGCCGACCGCGGCGCGGCCGCGCGGCTCCAGGTCCGGCTGGAGGCCCGGCCGGCGCGCGTCTCGTGGCGGGGTCCGGCCCGGTGCACGGCTGGGGTGGGCAGCTGCAGCCGGCGAGTCGTGCCGCCCGCCTGCCGCCGCCGCCTTTGTTTGGGCGTCGCGCCCCGTCTCGCCGCCGCCGCCGCCCCGGCCACGCTCGTGATGGCCGTGATTGGAGCGGGTGGCCGCCGTGCAGCGCCGGCCGGCCACACCCGGGCGGTCGCTGACTGATCGCGTCTCGTGCCGCGGACAGTCGCCCCTGCCTGGCGTATACAGCGGCGGTGTTGGGTAAACAGGGCGCCGCTGTGAGTCAGCGGCCGGCCCGGTGGCCGGCGCCGGCTGGCACGGAACACCGGTCGCCCGGCGACACAGGGCTGACGCCGCCGCCCCCTCTGTTGCAGTGAACCGCATGTTCAGCTTCCGCGAGACGGAGACCGACTCTTCCTGCCGCAGTGGTCACACATGTATATTCAGCTGCCGGACGTGGCCGAGGTGCTGCCACCCCTACCTCGTGCACAGGTACGTCCCAGCGCTGGTCGGCCGCGGCCGGCCGTGCTTCCAGCCAGTCGCGACACAGCCAGCCGCCGCGGCCGGCCGGCGATATTTTTCCACGAAGCCGGCCGGCGTTGTCGTGTTTTGCGTGTGCCGATGCGGCCGTCGCGTGACGGCCGGCCCCGTCCGCCGTGTGCCGGGCCGAGTTCGCTCGCCGCTGCCGCTGTCGCAGTGGCCGCCACTCAGCGGGCTCGCCTGGCGCTTTACAATTCGCCCCCCCCCCCCCCCTCTCTCTCTGTCTGTCTCCCTCTCCCTCTCTCTCTCTCCCTGTCTCTGGTCTCCGCCTCGTGTCGAGTGCGGCCGTGTGCTCGCCCGCTCTCGGCCGTCCGCCGCGGCCGCCCGCGGGCCTCACCGCTCGCCGCCCGTCGACCGCTGCGCTGACGGGGCGGCGCGTTTGACCGGCGGCCGGGCCGTGCTCCAGGTGCCGGAAGAGCGTTCGACTTCTCGCTGCAGACGGCGCGCCTGCTGGACGCCTACAGCTCGGACGCCAATCTCTCCAACAAGAAGAAGCCGCACGGCACGCGCCTGCGGATCTGATACTGTCCGACGAGCTGAGGGTACGTGCACGGTCGGCGGCACCCCCGCAATTGGGCCGCGCCGCCGAGGCGGGCGCCGGCGGCCGCACCTCTGCCCAGTGCCGGCCCGGCTCTGTTCGCCTTGAAATGCGATGCGGCCGTGCCGATTGAATGTCCGTTGTGCCGCGCCCGGCACCGAGCGGGCCGCGTCGGGAGAATGGGATTGGCCGGTGGTTTAGTAATGGAGGCGGCGGCCGGACCAGCTCGCCGGTGCCAAGGTCGGGGGAAGGGCGCACCGCTCCGGAGATGAGGCGGACGGGTCGCGCGCCGCAGGCCGTCGTTCATGAACGCGCAGCCGTTGGTGGACGCTGCGCGGCGGCTCGTTGCTCGGCCTCCCCGCGTATGGCTGGGCTGCCGTTGAAGCGGCTGACTCAGGGCTCGGCCGGACCTCGGCGCGTGGGACGGGCTGATGCGGCGTCTGGCCCGGATAGCCGGGCCTCGTGACGGAGCTGTAGCGGCGAATGCGGACGCCTCACGTCCCGCGAACGGCGGCGCGGGCGTCCGCCGTCAAGGCCGGTGCTTGCTGATTCGACTGCGGCGGTTTGGGGTGCCGGGCTGGGCTGGCGGCCGGTTTGTCGGACGGGGCCGACCTGAGCGACGCTCGGGTGGGACGGTGTGCCGCCGCTTGAGCTGGAGAACGGCGTCCCCTCCACGCCAGACGCGGCCCGCGCTGGCCGCTGGTCGTCGCCCGGCAAGCTCGCTGCACCGTCCGTGCGTCGCAATAAGGTGTAGATGCACGTTGGCGACCCAGTTCTAGCACGTGACGTCCGAATCAATGAAGCAGTGAGCGTTCGTCGTCGTATCGTCGTTGTCGCTATAGCTGCTATCCATTGAGCTATCCATCTGCCATCCATGTCTTACGCAGCCAGGAAGCCCCCCGGCTTTCCACTGCATCCGAAGTGCATACTGCTGGCACGGCCGGCGGCGAGCCCTCCACCTCGCCGCCCGCCGCCCGCCCCCTCCTGATCCGATAGAGGCGTGGGCCGGCGCAAGGTCCACGTCCGGCCGGCGCCCGCTGATAGCCGTACGTGGTGAGCATGACGTGACGCCGTGCCGTGACTGACGCGTGTCTCGGCAGGCCGAAGCCGGCGTCGGCGCGTCTGCAGGTGCCCGGCCCGCCGCCGGCCCGCGCCGCCGAGCACACGCTCTCTCCGCTGCGCCGCACCCACCAGCGCTCGCGCAGCGACGCGGCCGCCAGCTACTCCAAGAGCCACCAGCGCACGCCCAGCACAGGTGCGTCGGTCGGCGGGGAGGTGTAGGATGGGAGGGCCCGTCCCTTTCCGGAGGGGTGTGTCTGGCGGCGGCTTCCGCCGTCCTCTCCGGGGTCCGACTCCTCACCACCTTGTCCTGGCTGGCGCTGTGTCCGTGTACCACGTCCTTCAGTCCCGCTGACTCTGACCTGTCCTCCAAAGGTGTGTCGCCGCCGGCCGAGGAGCTGGCGCCGCGCGCGTCCTCCTCCGAGACAGGTGAGTCCTCCTCTGAGTCCTCGTCCTCCCGCCTGCCCAGCCGCCTTCTCCACCGGCCTCAGACCGCCAGCCGGTCTTGTTTGCGCGCTCGCCGCTGCTTGCGTATGTATCTGGCGTGCTCTTAAGTTAAGCTCCCGCTCACGTATGCCTCGCGCACGCGGCGGCCGCCCCCGCCAGCGCCGGGTGCCGTGTTTTGCGACCCGCGCAGCAGGCGGCGCTTTTTGTCCGGACGCCGTCTTCGTTGGCGACTCCTAATTGCTGCGGGCCTGGATATTCGGCGGTGAAATTGGCGCTGTTTTTTCGCCGTATTGACTGTCGCTCGGGGAGGAGCGCGAGATTGAGGCGGCCATTCATGTCTCGTCTTTACACACGCCCAGCTGTTTGGGCACCGGCCGGCGTGCCGGATGACTCGGCGCAGTCGGCTCTGCGCGTCTGTGCTACGCAAATAATCGAACGTGGTCGCGTCGCGTTCTATTTGCGGGCGACTCTCGATAAACTACGAAGCAAACGCTGGGCGTTCGGCGTGCGCGGCTGCGCTCCCAGTTGAGTCCCGCACGTCCGCCGTGTCGTCTGCCGTGTCGCCCGTCCGCCCGACCGCTTCGCAATTTAACGCGTGTGTGCCACCCGCCCGGCAGGCAGCATGCGCTGTTACCTGGGCGACGTGAGCTCGGGCCGCGCCTTCGACAGCGGCTGCACCTGCTACGACAGCCACGAGGGACAGTGTAACGACCTGCTGGGCCGCCACGTGCAGTGCCACTGCGGGGTGAGTGGGCGGCGCCCGGTCCGACCCGGCCTGCGGCGCGCGCGTCCGCTGGCCTTTACCGCCGGCGCTCGCCGCCGCCGGCGCTCGCCGCCGCCGGCGCTCGGCGATCATTGACGCGTCGCGTGTGTCGCGGCGCGGCATTTCACGGCGAGCGATTGGGTGGCCGGTCTCCTGGCGACACGCTGACGTCGGCTGGTGCCGTGCCGCAGGGTGGTTCGGAGCTAGGTCTGTGTGACGGAATTATCAGGCGACCGGTGACGGTGGTCGCGAGGCGGGTGGCGGGGCGGGTCACGGACACAGTTCTGATCACCTGATACCTGACCGCGATTCGTCGGATGCCTGACCGTGTGACTGCTGGCCTCCGGTCGTGCTAACGTCCCTCCGGCCGTGCTGACGTCTCTCCCACCGTGTTGACGTCCCTCCGGCCGTGTTGACGCCCCTCCGGCCGTGTTGACGCCCCTCCGGCCGTGCTGACGTCCCTCTGGCTGTGTTGACGTCCCTCCGGTCGTGTCGACGTCCCTCTGGCCGTGCTGACGTCCCTCTGGCTGTGTTGACGTCCCTCCGGCTGTGCTGATGTCTCTCCCACCGTGTTGACGTCCCTCCGGCCGTGCTGACGTCTCTCCTACCGTGTTGACGTCCCTCCGGCCGTGCTGACGTCCTTCTGGCTGTGTTGACGTCCCTCCGGCCGTGCTGACGTCCCTCTGGCTGTGTTGACGTCCCTCCGGCCGTGCTGACGTCTCTCCCACCGTGTTGACGTCCCTCCGGCCGTGCTGACGTCCCTCTGGTTGTGTTGACGTCCCTCCGGTCGTGCTGACGTCCCTCCGGCCGTGTTGACGTCCCTCTGGCCGTGCTGACGTCCCTCTGGCTGTGTGGACGTCCCTCCGGTCGTGTCGACGTCCCTCTGGCCGTACTGACGTCCCTCCGGCCGTACTGACGTCCCTCCCACCGTGCTGACGTCCCTCCCACCGTGTCGACAGGCGCCCCGTCTGCGGCCGCAACTGGAGTTCATCAACGCGCTCATCTCGATCGGGCAGCGGCTGGGCGCCATGCCGACGCGCGAGGCGAAAACCACCCAGCTGCTGAACGAGCTGAGCCTGCTCAACCTGAACTTGCCGGCGCGCGTCTGGCTGCCGCTGCACAGCGCCGGCCACCACGTGGTGCGCATCCCGGCCCAGGCGGCCGCCGTCCTCAACTCGAAGGTGAGTCGGCGCCCTGGCGGCCCGCCGCCGGAGGCTGCTCTGCTCCCGTGGGCTGCTGCTGCGCGGCTCGGCGGCCGGAGGGGGGTTATTGAGGGAGTAAGGGCGTGTTGACGCTCGCGGAGTTCGCGTGAGCCGGTGGCAGACCGTTGGGGCCGCCTGTTGCTTTTACCGCCCGTCTCTGATGTTTTATTGCGCGAGACGGTTCGATAGGCTGGATCGGCGCGGGGAGGTAGGGTTGAGTGTGTTCTGGCTCCGCCGCCGTTGCTGATGGAACACCTGATCATGCATTGATTTCTGGGAATTGGTGGGAGTGCTGTTCCAAGTAAGCTGCTTTCAGTCGACCAGCTGAGCTTATTTCTCAGCACGCTGTCATGGCTTCGAGATTGATTCCATTTGACTGCTGTAGGTGCCAGGCTGCAACGGAATGCTGATTAAGCGGCTCAAGTTGTGGCACAGTAAATGGCTTTTCTGTGAATCTGGACTGGTATCCATAGTTTTCGTTATGGAGGTAAAGTCATGAGTATTTCATGTTTGTATCAAAAATCGTTTGATAGTATCATACACCAAATGGTCATCATCCGTTCCGATCGCACTGGTCAGCTTGCGTTGGAAAGATAAGTAAGAAAAGCGACCCAATGTGCTTCAAGTGTCGTCCAGTTAATCCATGTGATGCCTCCACGTAGACGGATGACTGCCTCACCAGCGTCGCTGACCGTCGCCTGGTCGTTGCAGGACAAGGCGCCGTACATGCTGTACGTAGAGGTGGTGGAAGTGGACCGGCCAGAGACGGCGCCCGTGCCAGCCAAGTGCATCAACACGCTGCGCCACACGCGCTCCGAGGAGAGCCTGGAGAAGGCGGCGGCCGCGGCCGGCGCGCCCTCCCTGCCCACCACCTTCAGCCTGTACGGCAACATGGACGCCGACAACGCCGACTGCTGGAGCCAGGAGGACGACGACATCTCGCAGCAGGTGAGTGACGCCGGCTGTAGACGGCGGGGGAGGCGTGGCTGTGGGCTTCGAAGGCGTCGTGGCAATCGACTAGCTGAAAACCCAGTTCACAAGCAACCGAGTGCGCAGCCAAACTTGCAACGGCAGATGCTCGTTGAAGGCTGGGAAGGGCCCGTTTCGCCACCGCGTGAGCCGATGAGCATTGTGTGACGACTGCGCGCGCAGGGAGCGCTCCGCTGCGGAGGCAGCGTGCAGCACGACCTCGCTCCGGTAGACGTTTGGGCTTTTTGGCGGCCCCCGGCGGCCACGTAAGCCTCGCCGCACGTCGGAAGTCCCTGGGCGGCCGGCGCGGCGTGTCATCATCGCCGCGTCGGCCCCGGACGGGCTGTCCGCGGCCTCTGGCGTCACGGGGGTCTGGCGGCCGTCTGCCAGCGCGGCTGGAAACCGGGCGGCGCCGAACGTGTCGCCCGCGTGGCAAGCGCCATTGATCACGGCTAATGGTGGACTGCGAACTTCAGCGCGCCAGTGGAGCGTGAGGACGGGGCAGGAAGTCTATCCGTCAGGCCCACGCGGTTATCGCGCCTCCGCGCCATCAAACCGCCCATTGGCCGGCGTGATTCGCGGAAACCGGCGCTGATTGGTCGGGCGCTGCGTCGTGTTTTTTTCACGAGATCCTGCCGTGGGTCAGCTGTTGATGAATTGGACCCGCTGTGGGACGGGATTCGGTCGATGCGTCTCGCATCATCGGGGGCGTCCGGTCGCGGGCCCGCGCTGGAAACGGGCGCGGAGCAGCCCCAGCTACTGGGACAGCCCCGGAGCTGCCGCGTCTTGTCATGTTACGGGCGGCCGACTCCCTGTCCGCCCATGTACCAAAGTTTTCAGCCGGCGCTCTGCTCGGCCCGGGTGTACAGCCATCAGCTGACTGGTGTGGTGTGAAGCGTTGCTGTCTGTCACGGCGCGCGACGCCCGCCCCGCCGCTGCGCGCCGCTTGACTGTCCCCCTGTGCTGCGCTCCGACGCGTGGCTTGGTCCTAGTCACCAGGCATGCTGTCTCCGGCTTCACCGGCGCGGCCGGGCACCCGCCCCGGTGCCGGTGCTGGCGCCTGACCCGCCGTCCCTGCGTGCTCGGGCGCGTGCGCTGATCGTGCGACGCCCGCCGTTTCAGTACTGGCAGCTGCGCAAGGCGGGCCGGGACGCGGAGCGCGACACGCTGTCGCAGATGTCGCAGGAGTCGGCCGACAGCCGCGAGCCGGTGCTGATCGCGCCGGGCGACATCCGACGCCGCCTGGCCGACAGCCTGGCCGCGCCGCGCTCCACGTTCGCGCGCGACCCGGACGACCCGTCGGCGTCCGTGCTCAAGGAGCCGTGGGCGGAGAAGGAGCGGCGCATCCGCGACGGCTCGCCGTACGGCCACCTGGCCGGCTGGCGCCTGATGCCGCTCATCGTCAAGTGCGGCGACGACCTGCGGCAGGAGCTGCTCGCCTACCAGCTGCTGGAGACACTGCGCCGGCTCTGGCGGCTGGAGCGCGTGCCGCTGTGGGTGCGGCCGTACCGCATCCTGGTGCTGTCGGCCGACTCGGGCCTCATCGAGCCCGTCGTCAACACGGTGTCGCTGCACCAGGTCAAGAAGAACAGCCGCATGTCGCTCAAGGAGTACTTCCTGCAGGAGTTCGGTGACGTGAACAGCGAGGCGTTCCTGACGGCGCAGCGCAACTTCGTGCAGAGCTGCGCCGCCTACTGCCTCGTCTGCTACCTGCTGCAGGTGAAGGACCGCCACAACGGCAACATCCTGCTGGACAGCGCCGGCCATCTCATCCACATCGACTTCGGCTTCATGCTCTCCACGTCGCCCAAGAACCTGGGCTTCGAGGCGTCGCCGTTCAAGCTGACGCCCGAGTTCGTGGAGGTGATGGGCGGCCTCGGCTCCGACATGTTCGAGTACTTCAAGATCCTGATGCTGCAGGGTCTGGTGGCCGCCAGGAAGCACCACGAGAAGCTGCTCACGCTCGTTGAGATCATGCGGTCAGGTGAGTGGATGCGGAGCTCCGCCGCCACTATCCGGCGCGGGAGAGCTGGTGTTGCCGTGCGGTCACTCGCGAGAATAAATTGCCTGATGCCAGTTTTATATAAACAGTCATCACTTCTCTTTGCCAAAAGAAAACTCTAACTTATTTCCTCCACATACCGAGTTTCATAAACGTTCCTGACGGCGTACTTCAATTTCACCGTCGGAGCCTTTTTGCTCATATTTTGGTTTTCAAAATCAGAAGTACTAGAGCTGTTGTGCCGTAACCAAACAGGTTCTTATTTCACGGTGGCCGATTATGCTCATTGAGAGGGGCAGCACAGTTTTGTTGTGAATCAGGCTCAAAAGTGTATTATATGTGCAGTTTTTTTTTTGCAATAATATTTAAAATTTCGTGTCTTCTGAAGAGCTCAATGGGGTTATGAAACATCCCGGTTCGCGTAAAGTAGAAAATCTTCATGGTCATGTAAAGCAGAAATAAAGTAAATGTGGTGCGTAACGAATTGGTGATCAACAATAAGCCCAGGAGAACCGAATATCGCAGGCGTCCCTAAATTGGCTGACTTCTCGCAGGTGTCTTGAAGTTATGGATGTCAACCAACATTAATTAGTTCGTTCAGCGAATGAAATGCGATCAATCCATTGGGCCTATGACGTCAATGGCCGATGATTAAATATCGTGCGTCAAACTTCCGCGCTGTGAATGCGCCATCTTCTGCGGACACGTGTGGTGCTGACTGCCGTCTGTGGTGTCCGCCAGGTTCTCAGTTGCCCTGCTTCCGCTCGGGCGCCGCCACCGTCCAGTTTCTGCGCAACCGCTTCCACATGAACATGACGGAGGAGCAGCTGCAATACCTGGTCGACTCGATGGTCGAGTCCTCCATCCACTCGCTCACCACCAAGCTGTACGATGGCTTCCAATACCTGACCAACGGCATCTTGTAGCGCTGGCCGCGCGCCGCCCACCGACGCATTTACACGGGGGACCAGAGCCGGCCGCCGCCGCCGGCGGGACGGACGCTCGTGCGCCGCGGACGGCCGCACGGGACGCGTGCTGCGTTGCCACGAGTCAGACACGCATGTGTACATAGTTTGTATACTCATCGCCCCTGTTGACATGTTACCGCTTTTGATTCAGACGATGTAATAAAAGTGATATTGTTGGTGTTTGTTTGTGGGGTGGATGTGGCGGCTGCGGCGCCGTGGAGCTGGTTTGAGCGGAGGTGCAACAGTGACGTCAGAAGCTCGACAGGAAAGTCGGGACGGCCTTTGCCGTTTGCCGTTGGAAGGAGAGCACTTGGTGCGGGCGAATGTGCAGAGAAAGCGAACGAGACGCCGTTCGGGCATGATTTATCTACATGCACTGCCGTAGGGGTCTTGTCAGTTTGCTTCTGGTGCGACGTCTCTGGGTTCAGTTCGGAGAGTCGGATGTCTTTGGAATGACAGAAACCTCAGGATATGTGAGTGGATGTTCACACGCGCCTTACGTGCTGCAGCGCCTGCAGGCTCTGGAGCGTGCCTGAGCGCCTCTGGCGGATCACGGGAAGAGGCGCTAACGGCGCCTATTCCCGCTATCACCAGCGATGTCTGAGAGGAGTCTGCATGCATCACATCGCCTGTTTGATGTCGCCTAGATTGCCAAGGCACGAGGGAAGTTGTGAAGAGCGGTCTCCGGACGGCTGGCCCGGCTCGCTGGCGGACATCAAGGTCAGCTTTTTCAGTTCACTTTATGCGATGTCACGTAGGAATTGATAGACTCGGCAGACGAGAGCGTGACTTGATTGGGGCGTGAATGATGGCGCCGCACTGCTGGTGACGGATTCCAATCTCCGGACATCACCAACGCAGTACGACAAACCAGGAAAATCAAAGTGCTTGCGATACGCATGCGATACGAGCTGCCCGAATCAGTCCAGCAGTAAACTTAACCGGCCAACGAATGTGTTTACTCGCCCGTGTCTGCTGCGTGTCCCGTGCTGGGGATCGACGTTAGCGCCAGGCTTTGCCGCGGCCACTTCGTAAAGCTGTAAGTGGATTTTAGAGCACCAGGGGGCAGTACGAGGGCTAGGCTTTGATGATATGTCATATACCTTATGCTCTGCGGTCTGCTGTAATGGCCTACTGTGGTGCGCACGCTGCAAGAAAGGCGTGTGCATGCCTCATGTTTGTCTGGTTGCAGCGTAGTAATGCGCTGGACATGAGGGCAGCATTGGAGCACTGGACGTCGAGCACTGGAGCATCGAGCATTGGACATCGAGCACTGGAGCATCGGAGCATTGGACATCGAAGGAGCATTGAGCATCAGGGCAGGAAGCATCCCGTTTAAGACATCTAGAATATGTTTGGTAATAATCGGACGGTGGAAGAGGTACAGCGCCCAGCCGCCCCTTCCCTCCTTGTGTTCAGGGCCCCCGATATTTGCATGTTTTGCAGCGCCTGTGGCCACAACGCAAAACAACCTCGAGCTGTTTCAGTTCTCATTCTCCTCGGCGCGCAGTGAGTGCCTGTCAGTACGATGAGGCGGGTCACTTGCGGTACTAGACCTCAGTTGGCCTGGTATAAAACTATCAAGCGCCATGAAAGATGCACGCACGGCTGGATCCAGGGGCCAGCCAACCGGGCGATAGATTTCAAGCTATTTTAAACATCGCTCAAAGGCTTATGTCAAAAGCATTTTTGATCCGAAGACATCTCCTACGAAACGAAAACCCTCCTTGGGCGCAACCTTCAGTTTATGCCAATAATACAATTATAGGTATAAAGTATTTCACCGACAAGGTGGTTTGGCCGTTCCAATCAAAAGCGGTCATACGTTATTTCATGTCATGTGATATTATGTTAACATTATTTATATTTGACATCGCCTGCCACTCCGCATACATGCATGGCTATTAGGTGTCATAAGTCTGAGAGACAGAGAAGCATATGAAGAAACAACGGAGAGGGACGAAAGATTCAAAACATGTAAACGCGTGGACGCGTAACAGCATGAGACAACCCTATCACACAAAAAAGGACCCGGCAGCGCGCTTAAGTCTTGCTGAATCCAGTCGTCTAACATCCACGGGCAACTCATTAATGATAGACGGCGCTCGTTATGCAAAGGACCGCTGTGCTGCCGCCTTGCACGCCGACGGGGGGGAGGGGGGAGACGCAGGTTATGGTCCACGCGGGTAGTTTGGTCACTGGTCCGCGCGTCAGCGTACGTTTGAAACAAACAGGCAAGACCTGCAGGTTTACCTCGCTCACGGACTTTGTGCGCAGCGATGGCAGTTTGCACTTAACATACTTGTCGAGGCGTGGCAAAGCGCAGGTCATCCCGCGCGCGGGACACGTGGTCACACATTCGGATTGAAGACTTCACTGCTCTGGTAGTTAAGTTAACAGCTGGCCCCTGGTCATAATCAGAAATGCAGTATCTTACGATGGAGATAACTAGACCCTGCACTATGGTCAGCAGCACTTGTTGCGGGAGAAAATGTCTCAGCTGGCGGAGACCTATCAGGACGCCGATGGACTTTTTCCTCAGCACTGACGCGTGCGTCCGAGCTCAGGTGGCCGTCAAATAGCACGCTCGGGTTTTTTACGGTCGGGGCCTCCCGAACGGTCTCCCCACCGACCCGTACGCTGACGAGGGAGAGTCTGCGGGTGCTCTGTCTGGTGCCAAAGAGGAGTTCGGTTTTGGATACGTTGAGATTGAGACCGTGAGCGTGGAACCACGGTGCTAGTGAGGACAGGTTGCCATGCGTTGGATGAGGGAAGGAAGGTTGTGTTTAACATCGGATATGAGGATTTGGGTGTCTTCAGCGTACTGGGTCACATGAGCGTCTGACGCGTGCAGCTGAGGTCGTTGGCGAATATTGTGAGTAAGAGAGGACCAAGGGCTGGTCCCTGGAAGACTCCCATGGCATTGGGGAGCAGCTTGGTGACCGCTCTGCCACCAGAAGAAGAAGAGATGCAGACTGACTGGAAATGGCCAGAAAGATAGGGAGAGGATCAACCCGGGTCAATGGTATAGAGCTGGAGCTTGGAAAGTAGTTGAGCATGAGAAATGACCTCGAAACATTTACAGGGATCCAAGAGGCACTGGAGTGAGAGACGACCACGATGCATGTTGAAAAAGATGCGGTTGATCACGGTGAGCAGGGTAATCTCAGTGGAATGACGGGGACGGAAGCCATGTTGGGATGAGGACAGAATATGATTGTCGGACATGGAAGTGAACCCCTGGCGTTGGACCATATGCTAGACAATCTTGGCCATGATTCCCAGAAATCGAGAAAATCGCAGGAGGCGATACAGGTGTTGATATGGAGAAGGATAGGGCCGATGACGTCCAAAACGGAGGAGCAGGATGCGAATGCAAACGGCATCAGGTCCACACGCCCCGGAATGTTTCATGGAGAACATGACCTCGTGCAGCCCGCCAAGGGCCGTGCCAGTCACCCGGAAACCACAAGCGCCCACCCTGGGCGTGCGACAGAGGACGTCAGGTGGCTGTCCGAGACAGCCCGGGCTGGCTGCAACACGGGGCCGACGTTGACAAAAAAGCATACATCTCGTCCGGGGTCGCGACTGGGAGATTGCGAGCACTGCTCTTTTTCCCCGCTAACAGCGGACGGGTAATGCGGTGCAGAGAGTCGCCCCCTGCTCGCGTCGCCTCTCCTCGATATCCGCCCGGCAGTCACGCCTGATCACCGACCTCACCCTCCGGTCCAGTTCGCGGAAAGCCGGCGATCTCCCCTCGTGACGCAACCCGCCACGAGGGTTGCGTCACGCAACCCTGTGCCATGAGGTCAAGGGTCACCAGGCGGATTCCTCAATGACATTAGTTTGATCGGAGCGTGTTTGCCAATGATTGGTAGAAGACAGCCAAGCAAATGGAGCCCACATATCAGCGACTAATGGGCGTCTAAAAACACCGGACCAGTCGACATGGTATAAATCACGAAGCAAACAAACATGGTCAGTCCCTTTCAACGGTCGGGTATGGATACGGAGAGGCTTGACACGACACTTTGGCAAAACTGAGAGCGTGCGAAATGGTGAGGGCTTACAAGCGCAGTGAATGGCTTCAACATGCTGAGCGACCTTATCTCAATTAGAAATGGCTGCGTCTAAAGGCGACCTGGAAGAAAAAAGTAGATTATCGGACAAACTGGTGAAGATGAAACGATCGAAGCATTAAATCATTAACCGGTCCTTTGTAACGTTATCAGCAGGGTCCAGTAACCAGCAATTTAAATCCCCGATGATGACGAGCTATCCGGAGTAGTGTAGAAGTACTCGCTGATATCGCAGCTCCAGTTCGTCGAAGTCCGCCTGCAGGGCAGTCCACGGGCGTAGGAACAGCGGGCCAGGGAGCCATGCCCCCCCCCCCCCACTTTTCAATGTGGGGGGGACAGCAGCGTTAGCTGCCCCCCCCCCCCCAACACACACACACTTTTCAGACTAAGGTTGTGTTTAGCTTACTTTTGCACCACATTTAAATATGCATGCCGCTTTGCCTAGTTCACCAACCATCTTCCTCAACATGCGTCATCTTTTTCGTTTGCTTATTGGCCATCGCTTAATGTCACAGCCGCGGGCCGACGCCACGCAGCCTATGGAGACTGCAACGCCGGGGTTCAGGCCGTTGTTGCTATGACTTGCGAGTGCGTATGTTCAAAACCATGTTACGTAGTTTTTATCAGCAATCAACTCTGACTGAATCTTGGACATTTCAAGACGCACATGGATTAGCCATGTTAATACAAGCTTAGGACCCATTTCATCTACAATCTACGTTCAGGGATTCTCCATCTCTGAAGAAAACAGAAAAACATGGAGCTGGAGCATGTGCGACAATTATTGGACCACCTTTGGCAATCAGGGATGTTGTTGCGTCAATGAGGATTCCTTTGCTGATCCGGGGCCAACTGCGCGGGTCAGAAGGCCTCCCGTGTAAGGGAGGGGGGCAATGTGATATGGTATATCCTTCCAATGGCCTCCGGATCGACCAGGAGATCCCGCCCCGTGTAGCTAGAACGACAGCCAGAAGACGCTCCGCGATGGGACGGGGCGGCCCCTCAGCTCTTGACCGGAACCGGTAATGTGCCCTTGGTGTTCTACTCAAGTGGCTCCTTTCCCGGGAGGAAATAAGGGGCCTCATTATTGTTGAACAG